ACATGCGTTGTACGTAGCGGTTTGCTGCTGGCGCCGCATTGACAGTGGTGGGGTCCTCTGCTTGCGGCTGCAGATACAATGGAGGCATCCCACCACTATCCGTACGGTGTTTGGGCGGTGCCGGCGGTAAACTGCTATGTACAGCACATGCACAGTGTCACTATGCACAGCGCATGTGTGTGACACCGCACATGTGTTTTAATTGTGGTTTGCTTTCAGCACCGCATGGACGGTGGTGGGGTCCTCTGCTTGCGGCTGTAGCAGCGCTGGAGGCATCCCACCATTGTCCGTACGGCGCTTGGAAGGTAAACCACTATGTACAGTGCATGCACAGTGTCAATATGCACAGCGCATGTGTGTGACATCGCAAAGGCGTTGTACTTGCGGTTTGCTGCTGGCGCCGCATGGACAGTTGTGGTGTCCTCTGCTCACAGCTGTAGCAGCAATGTAGGTGTCCCACCACCGTCCGTACGGTGTTCGGGCTGTGCCTTTGGCAAACCACTATGTACAGCGAATGCACTATGTCACTATGCACAGTGCATGTGTGCGACACCGCACATGTGTTGTACGTAACATGTTGCTGTCAGCGCCACATGGGCGGTGGTGGGGTCCTCTGCTCGCAGCTTTAGCAGGGATGGAGACGTCCCACCACCATCCTTACGACGCTTGGATGGTAAATCGCTATGTACAGTGCCTGCACGGTGTCATTATGCACAACGCATGTGTGCAACACTGCACATGCGTTGTACATAGCTGTTTGCTGCCGACGCCGCATGGACGGTGGTGGGGTCCTCTGCTAATGGTTGTAGCTGCGATGGAGGCATCCCACCACCACCCGTACAGCGCTTGGATAGTAAACCACTATGTACAGCGCTTGCATGGTGTCACTATGCACAGCACATGTGTGCGACACCGCACATGCGTTGTACGTAGCGGTTTGCTGCCGGCGCCGCATGGACAGTGGTGGGGTCCTCTGCTCACGGCTGCAGCGGCAATGGAGGCATCCCGCCACTGTCCATATGGTGCTTGGGTGGTGCCGGCGGTAAACCACTATGTACAGTGCCTGCACAGTGTCACTATGCACAGCGCATGTGTGCGACACCGCACATGCGTTTTACGTAGCAGGGTGCCTCAGGGTTCTGTCCTCTCCCCCATACTTTTCAACACCTATATGCAGCCACTGGGAGAAATCATCAGGGGGTTTGGACTGGGTGTCCATCAATATGCAGGTGATATCCAGCTCTACCTCTCTTTCAAATCAGAACCAGTGAAGGCGGTGAAGGTCCTGTGTGAGTGTCTGGAGGCGGTTGTAGGATGGATGGTGGCTAACAGGTTGAGGTTGAATCCTGACAAGACAGAAGTACTGTTTTTGGAGGACAGGAGGCGGGTGGGTGTGGAGGACTCCCTGGTCCTGAATGGAGTAACTGTGCCCCTGAAGGACAAAGTACGCAGCCTGGGAATCATTCTGGACTCACAGCTGTCCATGGAGGTGCAGGTCAGTTCTGTTTCCCGGGCAGCTGTTTATCAGCTCCATCTGGTACTCAAGCCGAGACCCTACCTGCCCACGGACTGTCTCGCCAGAGTGGTGCATGCTCTAATTATCTCTCGCTTGGACTACTGCAATGCGCACTATGTGGGGCTACCTTTGAAGGTGACCCGGAAACTACAACTAATCCAGAATGCGGCAGCTAGACTGGTGACTGGGAGCTGCCGCCGAGACCATATAACACTGGTCTTGAAAGACCTACACTGGCTCCCAGTACGTTTCCGAGCACAATTCAAAGTGCTGCCTTCATATGTCTTCGAAAAGTCAGATAGTTGTTTATTTCTTTGACATCTGATGGGAGGGCATTCCACAGGGCAGGCACCACTACCAAGAAGGCCCTCTGCCTGGTTCCCTGTAACTTCACTTATCGCAATGAGGGAACTGCCAGAAGGCCGTCAGAGCTGGACCTCAGTGTCCAGGCAGAACAATGGGGGTAGAGATGCTCCTTCAGGTATACTGGGCCGAGGCTGTTTAGGGCTTTAATGGTCAGCACCAACACTTTGAATTGTGCTTGGAAACATACTGGGAGCCAATGTAGGTCTTTCAGGACCAGTGTTATGTGGTCTCGGCAGCCACTCTTTTGTGCTAAGAGGGCCACTCCAGAATCAATGAGAAAGTGCCTCTTTCTCTCTGGAGGATATGACACTGGCCTGTTCTGTCCCCAGATGTTTTTGGCATACAATTCCCATGATCCCTAGCTCACAGGACCAGTGGTCAGGGATGATGGTAGTTGTAGGCCAAAAACATCTGGGGACCCAAGGTTGAGAAAGGCTGGAAGGGAGAATGGTAGATCAGGAATTCTGAAAGTTCCCATTTCAATCCAATCCTAGACAGAAACAAAAATGGGGACCCTGAAAAGCATCTCCAAACATGCATGGGCTAAAAATAAATCCAGTTTTAATAAAAAGTAAAGGAAAGTGCAAGAACCCCAAAGAACAGTGAAAGACTGTGGCTTTCCATGTCTTGGACTACAACTCCATTCTGTTTGAAGCAGAATAGGTAATGTTCAGTTATGGTGTGAGTTGGGAGTTCAAAGAGGTTTGGAGCAGAAGCATCATAGGTTCCTCATCCCTGCCTTACACCTGATCTGTTCCATCTCAGAACACCTGGAAAGGGGAAGCAGCAAAGGTCTTCTCTCCCCGCTTTGCCTCAGACCAGGTGTGGGGATATAAGAACATATGAAGAGCCTGCTGGATCAGGCCAATGGCTCATCTAGTCTAGCATCCTGTACTCACAGTGGCCAACCAGATGCCTGTGGGAAACCAGAAATCAGGATTCGAACACAAGAGCGCTATCCGCTCCCGCGGTTTCCAGCAAGCGGTATTCAGAAGCATTGCTGCTTCTAACTGTGGCATCTGAGCCCAGCCATCATGGTTAGCAGCCACCAGCAGCCCTCTGCTCCATCAATTTGTCTAATCTTCTTTTAAAGCCATCCAAATTGGTGACCATCACTGCTTTCTGTGGGATAGAGTTCCATAGTTTAACTATATATTCTGTGAAGAAATTTTTAATTTTTTTAAAGAATATGTCCTGAATCTTCCAACATTCAGCTTTATTGGATGTCCATGAATTATAATGTTATGACAGAGGGAGAAAATTTGTTCTCAACCAACTTTCTTTATACCATGCATAAACTTCTATACTTGGACCCTCCAGGTGTTGCTGCCTACAAACTTGATCAGTCCCAGCAAGCATAACAAGCAGTCAGGCATGATGGGAGTTGTTCAGTAACATCAGGAGGGCCAAAAATTCCCCACACCTGCCAAATAGGAGCATCAATGAGGTGCAAGATGCTCACACCTTGTCATGTCAGATTAGAGAGTGGTCTATTGAAGTTTGAAAAGTCTCCAGGGTAGTATGCAACATAAGCTAATGCCATGCGGTAGACCCCTCTCAACAGGTAGAGGTCAAATCACAAATCAGAAAATGTGTGATACCAAATTATTCATAGATGAGATAGCCTAAATGTGGGGTGTGAAACATAGAGCAGTCAAATTCAACATTCCTGGAGTGGACATGTTTAGACATGAAGAGGGATGTTTGTCCAGCCAGTCGATAAACTTCCTGTTTCCTCCTGGGCTGGGACAAACTTCCTCTACATGTGACTAGAGGTGGGCGTGACCTTACCTGTGCAGGTAACAAAAGCACAGGGCTGGCCACCACACCTCCTCTTCTCCATTTTGCTTTCGTTGAAGAAGCACCAGCCTGAGATGCTCTCTTGGCAGCCAAGAGAGGACAAAGGAACTATCTCCTTATGGGATAGATTCCAAGTGTATATATTTCGTAACTTAAGTCTGTCTTCTGGGATCCATCTGTGAACAGAATGTGTGAATAAACTATTTTATACCTTTTATACAATGCTGTGTCATGTCTATTCCTTTTAGGAGGGAATAAAGGGAAATTACCACGAAATTTATTTTAGAGGCTTAAGCAATCCTGGCAAACCTATCCGCTGTGTAAGTTTAAAAGGGGAATGTTACTCTGTTAAATTATAGAACTTGTTAACACAAGTTGGAAAGGATATAATTAAACAATCTATCCTCTCCTGCCTCCCTGAACATTCCCACATATCTGCAGGAGTCAGCCACCCAAGGGTTTCACATGGGAGCTCAACAATGCTTTGTCCCTTCTGCACTGGCAATGTTCTCAGAGCTGCTTTCAGAGACAGCCTCCATGCTTTGCCTAGCCAGTGGTTTCTTTAGGGAGCTGTCAGTATCAGACTTGTTGACAGCATTAAGGAAAGGCTTAGTGGCTTTGCAGTGCCTTTGTCATGGTTCCTTCTCTCCGTTCCACCAACATTTTGGACACCACATGGGTTTTCTTATATGCCATCTAGTCAATATTCCAAATCAGAGGCAGAAAAGCCCCTTGAGGCTATCATTTGCTCATGGGAGTTGTCCTAATGGTGGACTTATTATTGAGGGCAAAACATTTAACATACTGCCATAAAGTCCGGGTAGGTGCGTAGCATGTGAAGATCCAGCATATGTATAAATGTATTCCTGCTATGCTCCCACTTTGTTCATGCACAAGTTCTACCCTTAGAGAGCAATAAGGAGATCACTGTGCTTTCCTCACTACTGTTTCCCCTGATGTATTAATTGGGGCAAGAGAGTGTAGTGAATATCCCATTCCATGCATATTATGACATACCAGCACATTTTTCACTAAAGGTGAAGGAAATACTTTGGACAAGGAGAGCACTGCTTGTCCGTGCAGTAGTGAATCTAGTTTATTCATAACCAGAAGCATAATCAATAATGCATTGTGCAAGACATATCACCCTTAATTATTATTGAAAACAGTATTGCGCTTCAGAGGCCTGCCCAGTCTGTCCATTAGAGAAGAAGATCCTAGAACATCACTGGCTACAAAGCAGGTTCAGCTTCCAAGTTGGCTCCAAGCTGGAATCAGGAGCACGAGCTGCAAGAGCTGATGGGATAAAGGTGATTGCCTAGTCGTCAGAAGTCTCAGGAGATGGAATTTCAGAGTCAGAACTGTTTAATAGCCGCATACCTATCATCTCCACATCACTTCCTCCACATTGCCAACGGGCTCTGCATTGCCTTGAAAAGAAGCAACGGGCAGTAACAGAGACTAAAGCGACAACATATGGTGAAAAGCAAAGCAGAAGAAGGAGCACCCATGGGTAGTATTGTCGACCTGAGGAGGAAAAATAGAAGATACCTTGTCAGTCATGACTTTTTGCGGGCACCCCTACAGATCCAGGATCTTCAAGACCCACCCCTTCATGGAGATGGATTGAGGTTTAAACCTGTAAATTAAAATTTAAACCTCCTGTCCCAGGTGTGCAGGAGAAACAGAGTAAACAGGCTGCGGAGCACTTTTAGCAGAGTAAAAGCACACTTCTTATCCTGCTAACCTTTCCCTTCTTTGTCCCCATTAATGTGTCACATATTTTAGTAAAAACAAAAAGGTTTACTTACATTTCAATGGAGGCAGCAAATATATCAAAGCAGTATTCATGTACAATTACTTTTTAGTTACAAAATACAAAACTAGTTTCAAAAATGGAGTCTGGACTCTAAGAAAAGCCCAAGCAATCATTGGCTTGAAAGAAGAGAGAGACAGAGGTAAGTAGGAAGAAGAAAAGATTAAGATCCTTTGTCCTATTCCTGTCTGTCTTCTCTAGGAATAAAGGAACTATGTCAGCCTTAACCCCCTTCATATGCTTATTTAGCAATCATAATTGTAATTTTGATTGCAGGTTTTCCCACACGCCTGTCCTTCAATAGTTCATCTTACAGTTCGGTTCCAACCGATACCTTATAATGCCAGGTTAAGGCAGCCATGCAGTATCTCACTGCTCTCCAAGCAAAACAAGGAGAGATTATTTAGGAGTCTCATTTTATTCATCACTCAAGCTCTCTGGGCAGTTTACAAAATGTATCAGTAAGATAAAGAAAAACCTCAGAAGCTGTAATACACAGGTCATCCAAGAATGGGAGGTGGACCAGAAAGTCATACCAACTCCCATTCTGGTACCAAGAAACCAATAATTTCATATAGGGGGTGCAGTCTAGTGGTTAAGAGGATGCTTGACTCTCCTTACAAGTTCCACTCCCTCTAACTCAAGTAGAAGGGCTGAGAAAGGGACACCCCCCCCTGCAGTCCAAAATAGGCAGGAATGGGGAAAGCTGACCAAATGTTGAAACTACACAAACTTTGGTTTCATGCAGTCTAAATTACTGAGAGAAAACTTTCAGTATCGTGGCTCCCAGCTATTAACTCTGCAGGCAGAGGATCTTGAAAGATGGTGGCAGAACAAGGAGGGCAGACTGAAGGAAACCAAAATCAAATTCTGCAAGTAGTCCTGAAGCTCCATGCCAAGCTTAGGCCATGCATCAGACAAGAGAGCAGAAGGGAAGGGAGGCAACCCTGGGCTCAGTCCGGAGCACTACCTAGGATCCTGTGGTATAATATCAAAACCACTAGTTAGCTATATTCCTTTTGGCAGCCTGCTGTCCCCCAGCGGATGTTTAGGACTACAAAAGAGCTGTGTGACGTGGGGCTTCTGGGACCACAGCCATGCTTGGTGGGGCTGATGGGAATTGTAGTGCAAGGCATCTTCTGGATTCCACCACCTGGAGACCCTGGGTTAAAAGGAAAGTTGCCTGAAGTGAAACTATTGTAAACAGGTGTTGGATGTTGAGAGGAGGAAAGGCAATCGCATAGGGGAAAAGAGGAGTCAGGGTTTCCATAGAAAGGTCGAAGAGAAAGTAAAGTGGCTTTCGGGGTTCCAGAAAGTCCTCTTCGCAACTACTAGGCCAGGGGGTGGAGACAACTTACGTTTCTTTTCAAGCGGAAGGTACGTTGTGTTCGGCTGCAACTCTCCATCGGTGGGGCTCTCCGTCTGATTTAGTCCGACTTCTGCGGTGCTGCCAGAAAAGTTGGGGTCGGATGTGCCACGCCCCTCCGTCCCCTCCGAAACTGTCGCCGGAGGCTCCGTCGCACCCATGGAGGCGGTGGACAGCTGGCTCTCCTTTTCTTCAGGCGCCCCTCCATAAATCAGCAGCAGGAACACAACGCAAAGAAAAGCCTTCTCCATGCCACTAGGGAAAAAACGCATTTCTCCCCAGTATCCTGTAGTATCTCTGAATGTTTACAGTGGGGTAACTCATTCAGTAGGGCTTAGTGCTAGAAAAGTTTTCTAAGACTGGGGGCTTGTATGTAGGTATCTGGGGCCAATAGGCTTCTCTGTGCCCTGTATACTATGCCTTGATTGGTAAGTGCAACAGGGCATCCAAAAACGTCACAAATTTGCATAAAGTTTGCAAACAGTTTACATGGCACGCAAATTTGTAGCCGTTTTTGTAGGTGGGCTGGAGCACCCAAAATGAATTAGGGGGCACATGCAAGTAATAAGATGTCAAACAAAATATCAGCAGGTGAAGTTTTCTTCATAAGTGTAGTTGCAGACTAGAAAACCCTTAGTTTGTCTGCTATACAGCTTTAAAGGCATAGGAGCCCTCCTCTCCTCCAGTACCAGTCCCAAACCATGCAAAGAACTCAAACCCTACTCAGCTACAACACTCACTTGGAACACTTGGATCACTGTCTCTTAGCCTACCTCGCAGGCTTGTTTTGAGAATAATATGGCAAGTGAGGAAAGCCATGTACACCATCTTGAGCTCTTTCATTCACAACAAAAACCCATTTAAGAGAGGTGACAAAACACTAGACATTTAAAAAAAACCCACACTGAGAGCGCATTTCTGAACATGTTCTACTCAGAACATGAACTCAATGGGGCTTACTCCCAGGTAAGTGTAGTTAGGATTGTAGCAAAAGCCAGGAAAGCAGCCGTCTGACTACCCTCTATGCTTTGATTGCTCCATTTCACTCCTGGTGTTTTACAGGAAACAAACAAAAATTAGTTTGCCAAATTTGAATCTTATTTTTTAATACTCTGAGTGTGCACAGTTTCACATTTTAAACTCGCTTAATTCATCATTGTTTTTGTTCACTTCCTTCCTTGGTCCCACCACCAAATCTCAGCCTTCCCTACTTCATATACAGGTGAAACTCAGAAAATTAGAATATCGTGGAAAAGTTCATTTATTTCAGTAATTCAACTTAAAAGGTGAAACTAATATATGAGATAGACTCATGACATACAAAGCGAGATATGTCAAGCCTTTATTTGTTATAATTGTGATGATTATGGGGTACAGCTGATGAAAACCCCAAATTAACAATCTCAGAAAATTAGAATATTGTGAAAAGGTGCAGTAGCTATTCAATCCATAACACCTGCAATGGGTTCAGTAGGAAGCACAATCATGGGGAAGGCTGCTGACCTGACAGTTGTGCAGAAAGCCATCATTGAGACCCTCCATAAGGAGGGAAAGCCTCATACGGTAATTGCAGAAGAAGTTGGATGTTCCCAAAGTGCTGTATTGAAGCACATTAATGGAAAGTTATGCGGAAGGGGAAAGTGTGGAAGAAAAAGGTGCACAAACAGCAGGGATGACCACAGCCTGGAGAGGATTGTCAGGAAAAGACAATTCAGATGTGTTGGGGACTTTCACAAGAAGTGGGCTGAGGCTGGAGTTAGTGCATCAAGAGCCACCACACACAGACGCAACATGGAGATGGGCTTCAAATGTTGTATTCCTCTTGTCAAGCCGCTCCTGAACAAGAAACAACGTCAGAAGCATCTTGCCTGGGCTAAAGAAAAAAAAGAACTGGTTTGTTGCTCAGTGGTCCCAAGTCCTCTTTTCTGATGAGAGCAGCTTTTGCATCTCATTAGGAAGAATGGGGAGGCACACAATGCCAGATGTTTGAAGTCCAGTGTGAAGTGCTGATTTGGGGAGCCATGCCATCAGCTGGTGTTGGTCCACTGTGCTTCATTAAGTCCAGAGTCAACGCAGCCGTCTACCAGGATATTTTGGAGCACTTCATGCTTCCTTCTGCAGATGAGCTTTATGGGGATGCTGACTTCATTTTCCAGCAGGACTTGGCACCTGCCCACACTGCCAAAAGTACCAAAACCTGGTTCAATGCCCATGGGATTGCTATCTATGGGACATTACAAGAGAAAGATGAGAGACATGAGACCAAACAATGCAGAAGAGCTAAAGGCTGCTATAGAAGCATCCTGGTCTTCCATAACACCTCAGCAGTGCCACAGGCTGATCGCATCCATGCCATGCCGCATTGAGGCAGTAATTGATGCAAAAGGGGCCCAAACCAAATACTGAGTACATATGCATACTTCTCAGAGGTCCAGTATCGCTCTATTTGCAATCCTTGTTTTGCTGATTTCATTTAATATTCTAATTTTCCAAGATTGTTAATTTGGGGTTTTCATCAGCTGTACGCCATAATATCACAATTATAACAAATAAAGGCTTGACATATCTCACTTCGCATGTCATGAGTCTATCTCCTATATTAGTTTCACCTTTTAAGTTGAATTACTGAAATAAATGAACTTTTCCACAATATTCTAATTTTTCAAGTTTTACCTGTAGCTGTTGTGAAGACATAGAAAGAGATATAAAGGGGGAGAGTGACCTTGTTCCTGCTTTTTTATCTCTCTTGGGCTTTTTGCTTACCATTGAGCATGGTATCCTCCTGGACCAACTCTGTGGAATGGGAATTGAAGGCACTGTACTACAGTGGTTCCGCTCTTACCTTTGGGGCTGTGTCCAGAGAGTAGCATGGCGAGACTGTTTTTTGACCCCTTGGCACTTACGTTACGTGGTACTGCAGGGCACAATATTATCTCCAATGTTGTTGAATATCCATATGAAGCCACTGGGAGCAGTCATTAGGAGTTTTGTGTCAAGGTGCCATCAGTATGCTGGTGACACTCAGCTCTATTTCTCTATAACATCTGAATCAGGAGAGGCCATGCAGTCCCTGGCCTGAGTGCAAGGGTGGGAAAGATGAGGAAAAACAAGCTGAGCCTGAACCCTGGCAACATGGAGGCACTGTGGATGAGCTGCTCCTATGGATGGAAACTTGGTCAACTGCCTACCCTGGATAGGGTCGCACTGCCCCTGAATAAGCAGGCTTGCAGTTTGGCATGCTTCTAGATACACCATTGTCAATGGAGACTCTGGTAGTGTCAGTGACTAGAAGCACCTTTTACCAATGCAGTTGGTTCAACAGCTTGCCATTATACGTGGATCAGAAAAGCTTTGCCACAGCAGTTCATACATTAGTTACTTCAATACTGAATTAAGTACTGTAATTCTCTTTATGTGGGGCTTCCCTTGTATTTGATATGGAGACTTCTGAAACACATTTTCTGATGGGGTGAGATATTGTCAGCAAATAACACCTGTGCTCAGAGATCTGCACTGGTTTTGGGTTTGCTACCAGGCCAGGTTCAACGTGTTTCTGTTGCTATACAAAGGCCTTAATAACTCGGGACCAGTCTACCTTACTTCATATATGCCCTCTTGACCACTTTAATCTGCAGAACTGGCACAGTTACAGGTGCCAGTTCTGTATTTGTAAAGATCTGATATTTTCCTGTGGCAGCACCTACACTTTGGAACTCCCTGCCTATTGACATTAGGCAGGAGCCTTCACTGTACCTTTTTGGCACCTGATACAAACATTTTTGTTCAGACAAGAATGCCGATGTGTTTTTAGTTTCTTGCTGGTTTTAATTTTTGCTTCCTTTAACCAAAATGATCTATCTTTGTAAAGGGAGATATCCCACCCCCCCAAAAAAATACAGTATACCTCAAGGCAATCTTAATCTGTCTTGATTAGTGTGTGTTTAGATGCAAAAATCCCAATTGCATTAAAGTGATTATTCCTTGGTTGATGTGTGCAAGGGAACCCTCCCACCATGAATCTCTTTGTTACAAGAAAGCCCAGGCTACAATCCTGTACCCAGATACCTGGAAGTAGGCCCTATTTAACACAAAGAGACTTACTTCTGAGTAGACTACCACTGCACTGCAAGTTATATTCTTCATGAATCCCTGCTCTATAGAAGACATGCCTATTTGCAAAATGCCCACAGTTTGCTCTTTTTCTTTTTTTGTATTTCTTACAGGGAGGTTCTTTAACACTACCCAAGCTTTCACCATGTAGTAGAATTGATAGCAAGTGACTTAAGAGAGTACCAGAGGTCCTGATCGGAAACAAAGATTATAAGGAGACAGAAACCACTAATCAGGGGAGGGTGGAACAGCAGTTCTTTAGGATCATTTGGATTCCTGATGTCCAAATAACTAACTTCTCAGTCTCAGCTCTGACATCACTGTTTGGGCAAAAACACTAAAAGGCAGGAGCAGCCAAGCTGAAATTGCTTAGAACCGTGATTCCCAATTAATTAAGAACTGCAGACCTCCTGTTTTCCAAAAGCCAAGTCATGGGTGCCCTATTATTATTATTATTATTATTATTATTATTATTATTATTATTTCTGTATTTTTATTTTTTTATTAAAGTTTCCTTGGTTTACAAAGGTATGTGCAATCTCTCTTTTTTCAAGTTACATTTTCCATGGGTCAGTTTCATTTGTTGAGACATTAGGGTTACATTAGGAAGAAAAGGGGGGAAGAGGTGGAGGTGGGAAAGGCGAGTGGGGGTGGGGGTGGGGTCGGGAGGTGATGTTTCTAATTTGCTTAATGTATTCGTGGGGTTTTGTGTCAGCATTGTTTGTGCGGGTTCTCTTTGCTATTCGCTTGTGTTCCTTTGGTGGGGAGAGAAATTGGGGTTGGCCTAGGGTGCGGTTGCTTGTTTGTGATTGGCTGTGGTGAACTTCGTATTCATGTGTGAGTGGGGTGGGTGGGTGTTTTTGAATCAGGTTAGCCATATTGATTCGTATGCTGTTGGTGGATTCTTGTCATTGTCTTGTTGGGCTGTGTATGTGATAAAGGGGAGCCATACCGGGATGAAGGCGTCTTCTTCTATTTGTCCCCTTGTCAGTTTCAGTTTATTGGTTAATTTTTCTAGTAGGGCTGTTTCCCATACTATTTGGTACCATTGGTCCATGCTTACTCCTGACAGGTCTCTCCAGTGTCTGGCTATGATGTTTCTGGTTGCTGAGAGTAGGTGGGTTATGAGTTCTTTGTGATGTGAGTGGGCATTATTGTCTTGGAATATGTTTAGTAGTGCCAGTTCTGGGGTGATTTCTAATACTTGCTTAGTTATTTTACATATTTCTTGTATGGCTGTTGTCCAAAATAGTTGGATTTGGGGGCATTCCCACCACATGTGTATGTATGTGCCTGTGGAGGTGCACCTTCTCCAGCATTTTGCTGAGGTTCCTAGGTGCATTAGTGCTAATTTCCTTGGTGTTAGGTACCACCTGTAGATGAGTTTCAGAGTGAATTCTCTCCTTCTCATTGATATGGATTTAAGGGGGTTTAGACCACATTCTGGTCTACTGAGTGGGATTAATCGCATAGCCTATGTCGTCTTCCCATTGTTTTTTGATTATGTCTAGGGGGTTCATGGGGTTTTGGAGTAGTATTTTGTATATTGCAGATACCATTCCTTTGCCGTGTCCCTTTATTGTTAGGAGGAGGTTTTCGAAGGTTGTCAGGGGCCTAGTTGGGGCTGATTTTACTACTGGGTTGTTTAAGAGGGCATGTAATTGGTGATGTGTTAACCAGGGCACTTGGGTGTCCTCTAGTTTGTCTTGTATTTCTTGTGTTGACAAGGGTTTGTTATTTTTATAGAAGTCTGTTAGGCACTATAGGCCTTTGGTTTGCCTTGTTTTTATCTGGAGGTTTTGTGCTGTGTGATGGAATAGTGGGTGGTGTACCAGGGGAATTAGTGGGGATGGGGTTGGGGACAGTTTGTCTATTTCTGTTTTCCATGCTTTAAGCATGGTCATTGTGTACCTGGTAAGTGTTGTGGGAATTTTCCTTAGTTTGTTTGGAAGGAATGGGTACACTGTGGTGCAGGTATTTTCAATTGTGTCTCTCTCCAGATGTACCCATTGTTTTGTCTCATCTCCTAGTATGTATGGGATTATGTGGCGTATTTGGTTGGCAATGTATTATGTTTCTATGTTGGGGATTCCCCATCTTCCCTCTGAGGAGGGGAGGTGCAGATATGTGAGGCTTATTCCTGATTTTTTGTGTGAGAAGATGAATAAGTGTAGTTTTTCTGCCATTTTCGGAGTTGGGTTAGGGGGATCCAGATTGGGAGGGTTTGGAATAGGTAGGTTAGTTTTGGGAGGGTGATCATTTTGATCATGGGTATTTTGTCTGAGCGAGTGAAGTTCATGTTGTTCCATCTCTTTAGGTCTTTGTTAATTTGCCGCCACAGGGGGTTGTAGTTGTAGAGGTATAATTTATTGAGGTTTCTGGTTATTTGTACCCCTAGGTATCTGAACTTGGTGTGGCAAAGTTTTGTCTTGGTGACGTTAGCTAGTTCTTTTTGCGTGTGGGGAGGGGTGTTGAAATACATAGCTTCTGACTTTGCACAGTTTACCTGTAGGCCTGACACCATTGTAAATGTGTTGAGATGGATGCCCTACTTTTGAAAATTTTGATACCTCTATGGTAATTTTTGTTATGTGAGTGGTGGCACATACTCCCTGGGGTCCATGGACCACTTCTTCCTGTTGTTGTTGTTGCTGCTGCTGCGGTTGCTGCTGCTGCTGCTAATAAAAGTGGAGAGTCTGCAGTCCCTGCTGGCTTGAGGCCTGGTACATATACATTGCCTGCACCCACGTGAATAAAGTCATCTGACTGTAGTGGATCTTATTTTTGAGTAAACCTTTATAAATTTGGACTGGAATAAGGATGTGGTAGCAAAGAGTGGCAAGTCCCTGCACACACCCTAAATTATCCAACTAGAACAAGATGGGTTATTTATTTAGGAGAGCCACACTATTCAACTGGGCAATTTGCAAAGCATATCAGTAAATAATTTCTTATCACACCCTCAATGCATTAATATGCACCACACCAATACCAGGTTCAACATTCTATTTCCTTTTCCATCATCCTCACGGATGAGGATTATTACGAGGCACATTGGGATGTCTCTGTCCAATCTAGAAACAGTTCACTAGGACCCTCATGTAAGATCTACCTGTTGGCATTTCTTGGGAACAAGCCAGTCACTAGCAGTTGGGAGTCTCACAATGCTACAGTGTACAAGCTATGTGTCATTCATGTTGTTTCACAAGAGGAACAAGCTATTCCCCATTACACACCGGTTGCCTTACATACAGAAAAGCATCATTGAACCTGTGTGTCCTAACAATAGCTGTTCAATGATGATTTTCTGGGATTCAGAATATTTTTTTTCTTGTTTTCCTCCTCCAAAAACTAGGTGCGTCTTATGGTCTGGTGCATCTTATAGAGCAAAAAATACGATAATACAGCATTCTAACATCATTTCATTATAAAATCAGTTCAAATCAAATTAATGGCAACCATTGGGCTAGAGTTCTGTGAGGATTACCAAAGGAGGGGGTCAGGCTGTGCCCTGGCCAAAGGCCTGGTGGAACAGCTCTGTCTTGCAGGCCTTGAGGAAAGATGTCAAGCAAATTTGGACAATTGCATTGATGGAAAGATGGCCAAAAAGGTTAAACACAGGAACAATTAAAAAACACACACAAAAGAACAGTTTTGAATGCTATGGTATCTCTTTATTAAGCATGCATCATAAAAGGAAAATAGCTGGCAACCATCAGCCTCAAATGGTCTTTTGCAGACTGACTGCACAAGATAATTAAAGCAAAAAAAGGAAACTTCATATCCTAAGAAAAAATGTTTTATGGTCCAAGAAAGATTTATCAAATGCTTTAAAAGCATTACAAAAATAAAACAAACATGCAGTGTAACTGTGAAAAGCATTTTTAAAGAATATACAAGTTTGAGGGTTTTATACAACATAACCTCAACAAACTTCAGACATACTCTTTGCCCATCTCAGCAAGTAGAGGTCAATAAATCAGAAAGAATGGGAAAAGAAGTTATCCCACAAGTGATGGAAAAAGAGAAAAAGCCAATTATTCATAGGTGATAAAACCCTAAGTACCTGCCACTACCCTGAGTCACCCACCCAAGTATTTCAAATGGCAGCTCAAGAATATTTTGCAAACATTGGCAAAGTTGGCAAGGAGCAAAGTTGGCTTTGGGGACAACCACCAAGCTTTGCCCATTTAGTGGCATCTTTACAGCACTGAGGACATCAAACAAGCTCTATCCATCATGCAAAGACTCAGTGGCTTTGGCCAGAAAGATTAATGGGTTCTCCCCACTTTGCTTGAGGCAAAGGGATGTATTGCACCCCTCATTGTTGGGCCTTATTGTGATAAACACCAGCATATTTCACAAACAGGGGAAGGGCCAAGGAGGGACTGTGCAAGTGGTATGATGCAGGGATACCAAAGAAGGATAACAAAACTGTTGGAATGGTCAGTTCAAGTGCTTTATTAAGGGAAGGTGTAAACTTACAATACAGCTGCAGAGTCTCACTGCCTTTACAGAAGAGGTGCAGACACTGCAATGGTGACAGGTTGTCAGGACATGTTTGTAGAGGTAGCAAGGCTCTGCACACAGTGTTCTAGACCTGGCCATGCTGGCATTTTTTATATCCTCTGCATCAAACCACTTGCTCAGGCCTGCAGTTCAGACCTTTGGGTCTGCAGTTCAGAACAAAGGGCAAACTTTGGGCAGATGTTCCCTGCATGTCTAAAGCAGGGTAGGCAATGTGGTACCCTTCTGTTGTTGGACTTTCATAATATGTGGCCATTAACCATGCTGGCTTGGCCTAATGAAAGTTGTAGTTCAACAACATCTAGATGACAAACACAATGCCTACCCCTAGTCTACAGAGCAGTTGGTCTAGTAAAAGCACAACTAAACATCACTGGCTAAACAGAAGATTCTGCTTCCATGGTTTCATCCACTGCATCTTGGGGAACAGCACATGGATTTGCCAGAGACAAGGGCAGCTCCCTGTCTTCCCCAGTGCTGCAGTCTGGATTACTGAAATCCAGAGCAGGTTGTTCGCACGAGGCAGAGGGCGAGTCGCAGATCTCTTGAGGGTCCTCGGCAACTGCAGATTGTAACTCTGTTTCATCAGTGGCTTCAGAATCTGAAGGAAGGGTAACTTCATTCAGCTCCATATTACAGCTATGGCTCCCTGAATTGCGTCGTTTCATCACATCACAGAGAACATAAGTGACCCAGGCAAAACACACAAAGATGGAACCAGCGGTAGCCGCTATCAAGATAAGATGAAGAAACGTCTTGCGGGCTGGAAAAAAAAAGGAGGGATACAAGTTAGTCACCACAGGTACCTTTACATACTCCATGCCTCCTTCTTATTGCTTTGTCTTACCCTGTCAAAACCCCAAATGCCTCCTATTAGGAGGGCAAGTCTGCATATGAAAGTCCCACATATCCACGTTTAACGTAGCCCAGTATACTGCTCTCCAACTCTAACAACAAGGGATGCATTTATGATTCTCTCTATCCATCACCAGTTTCTCTGGGCAGTTTAGAAGACACATCAGTGACATACCATAGAACCACTTACTGCACCCCCATGTATTAATATGCACCACACAATAATAATAATAATAATAATCCTACCTTCATCACTATTTATTTCTTTTCCCCATCCTCATAGTTGAGGAGCATTAGAGGCACATCAGGTCAAGCACAGAGGCCATCCAAGAACTGGAGTGGGGTGGACCAAGAATTTAGACAGGGGTGTTGCCAAGTTATTTAGGACATGCTCAGTAGGCTGAAGGTCTCAGGTTACTAGTTCCAAACACTTTCTGACCCAAATAGTAGAACTGAGACAGGCAAATAGTACAGTCAAGATAGAGGAAACTGATCTAGACTGTCTAACATCCAGCCTCCACAAACTGTAGCTTCATAGGGTCTGAATTACTAAATGGAACATTTCTGTGATGGAGTCCCAAACTATTAACTCTAACTGTGGGTAGAGGATCTGGACACGACTATCCCAAATTAGTAGGAGGGGGTGCAATAGATAACCAGATATTCACTGCTTTCAGACATCAATCTTAAAGGGCAATTTCTTGGTTATGTGCACTTGCCCAGAAAACCTGGACCACCAGACCTTATGCATGGCAATGACCTTTGCGGCTGTTGCAGCTGTAATTCCTAGTTTTAGCTGCTTAAAAATGTAGAGAGGCCACAATAAACTGTGAAAGTTAAAAGTGACTAATTTCTTCCACACAGTCACCGTGGGATCTCATTCTCATGTAATTAAAAAATGAGGCCATCTGACACAGATGAAGACCAGCTTTGGGAGTTTCTTTAGGATGGAGAGCTTGCATGAATAGGAAACTCTAGAACTGAACCAGGCATAAAAAAATCAGCATAATGCAGTAATTAAGAAGGCAGAGTGAAGAGTCCCAGGTTCAAATCCTGAGCCAATGATGAAACTCACAGGTGAGTTTGGACCAGCCACCATCTCTCAACCTAGCCTGCCTCAAGTGGGAAGACATACATTGCCTTGAGAGCCTTAATGGACAGCTCTGTAGTAGCAAGCCCTGGATTTACTCCCAAGAGGCAATTGTGGCCAGTGCCCATTAGCAGTGGTAGTGCAGAAGCCAAGGAGACCAGCAGTAGGTGAGTGTACAGGCAATGAGAGACAGCTGATGCTGCTAAAACCCCAATGGTTGTTAGTAAGAGCACAGGCATAGCCAGGGTGGGCAGAGAAAGGCAACTGCCCCCTCAACAATAAAAACCAATAAAAATAGATAGCTAACTGAGGTTCTCCCCCCCCCCCAACAAAAGGCCAGTTCCCCCTAACAAAAATCCATTCCTAACGACACCCATGAGTAAGAGGGCAGCTGACAAGAGAGGGCCAGGTAAGTTGCAGGTTGAGATTGGTGGGGCAGCACCACATTCCCCCTACTGGACCACCTTCTACTCCTGAGATGTGCTCAGGATCCTGTGCAGGGTCATACCCCTTGGGAATAATGGCCCAGAGAAAGTTGCAGGAAGAGCCCTGCCTGTAAACAAATGTCGTGATGTATAAAAGAGTGGAAAAAACACAAAGCGTATTTAGGTGACCCATTAGAGGGGGGGGGGGGGGTGCGCAAGCATTAATTCTATTACAGGTTTGACTTTCTTCCAGAAACCCTCCAGACCTCACTAGATTTAACACATCTTACTGCGATTTTTTCCGCGGACAGTTAGGTCTCTCTCTGGGCACAGCGTCTGGTTCAGCCGGTCCTCTTCAGACGAGCAGCAGTAAGAGTCGGTGCAAGTGCCGCAGCAGAACCCGTCGGCTGGGTTGCCGTTCTTCTGTGGGCACAGGAAGAAATGGCCAGGCCACTTCGCGCCCTCATCCCAGAGGCGGCACCACTCGCTTTTCGTCGGCCCAGGCGCGGTCCCAACAACCGACAGAAGGATTAGGAGGCACAGCAGAAGGCGACCCATGCTCAGATGATGCCCTAGGCGGAAGAACACTCCTATGAACGTATTACTTTTAAACGGTCATCAGCAGTCCTGACCCACATGGGCCCGCTTATACGAGCTTCTTCTGACGACCGAGGAGAGGGCAGGCGGTGAAACCCTCCACAAGGCTGGATCTCGTCCTGGTCGTCGATCTCCAGTACAAACTTGATGTTTTTCAGTATGTACTGGATCTCGCCTATCACGATTTTGTATTCCAATTCCCCGCCTTTATCAGAGACACCGACTACGATCAATAACAGGACCAGGCAGCGCAACAGATCCCTCTTCATTTGGCAGACCCACCCTGAACGGGTGTAAGCTTATTACAAAATGCCTTCTTTCCCATACCCCCCAGAACGTCTGACCCATACCCGCTACCCCGTCGGAAGTTTTGCTAGGAACCAAACTGCTATAAAACATCAAGGCCTCTCAATAAACCTGCGCCTTCACTAATGAGGCTGGGAAGCGCAACTCGCCTCACCTGAGCAAGCCCCCATCCCAGCTGCCCATAAAGAACGACCTCTCCAACCACCCCCACCTCCCTCACCAGGCAACAGAGCAGAATGACTCGCTCCAAATGGCCACTTGGCGATTGTTACTCAAGGGCTGATTACAATCCTATGTCTGGGCTTACCTTTGCTCGGGACCAAATTCCTCTGAGCTAGCAAAATGTCTGCCACTAACTTAGAATTGGTTAGAAGAAGAGGAGGAGATTGGATTTGATACCCCGCTTTATCACTACCGGAAGGAGTCTCAAAGCAGCCAACATTTTCCTTTCCCTTCCTCCCTCACAACAAACACTCTGTGAACTGAATGGGGCTGAGAGACTTCAAAGAAGTGTGAATAGTCCAAGGTCATCCAGCAGCTGCATGTGGAGGAGCGGAAACGCGAACCCGGTTGCCCAGATCGGGAGTCTACCGCTCTTAATGGCTACACCACACTGGTACTGTGGCCCTCTGAGGCATGTCTCCTCAGAAGTCTCAGTTCAATGGGACTTACTCACATAGAGCATTTAGGAAGAAGCCCTACAGAAGCGGATCAGCCATACCTCCAATAAAGCAGGCTCCTTTTATGAATCGAAGTGATGTACATGGTCCTCCCGCTCCTCATTTAATCCTCGCTAAGGTAGGTTAGGCTGAGAGGCAGTGACTGGCCCAAAGTCACCCAGTAAGCTTCATGGTGGAGTTGGAATTTGTACTCTGGTCTCCCAGGTCCTAACCACTACACCACACTGTCATACACAGCCTGACCTAAGCATGTTTACATGGGAACAACTTATTTTTGGGAGGCTTACTGCTAGGAAAGTATCCCAAGACTGAAGGCTTGCATGTAAATAGACCCCATTAACCATAGCATAGCTTACTTCTGAGGAAGCACACATAAAATTGGACTGGAACAAGAGCCATGTAATGCAGAGTGTCAGCCTTGCACACACCTTAAATTTCTGACAAATCCATTTAACAATTTCTAAATTCATTTTTAAACCTTATTTTATTAAGGCCTGATCTTGATGCTATGGTTTCTGGGAGAAACCAAACACAAACGGATCTCTTGGCTCCACTGAACGGAATGTTTGGTGTTCCTTCTTATCATTGTACAAAATGTTATGTTCTGAAAGAAGCCACTCTTCTGCCTGAATTTCTGGTTGAATTAAAAAGGAGTGGAACTGCTGTGAATTTGACAAGCCACTCTAAAGGAATGTTGTAGAGAAGTTTCATAACAACATTGTGCTGTGCAGACAAGGAGAATTAAACATGGATTCACCTATAACTGAAACAGAGGTTACATCTAAAAGCGATCCTGATTCTGTAACTTGTTGCATTTTTAAAACTCCAGGTTCTATGAATCCTGACTCCATACTTTCTCCCTCCCCCCCGATTTTTTGAGGATACACACAATTTTACCTCCCGGAGGAAACAGCTGGTGACAAAAGCAAATGAGGCTTTCTCGCAGTTAAGTGTGCCAAGACTGTTATCTTATGTGGGTGTAAATCCCCTTTTAATGTTCTTGGGTTTGCTTTTTTATAAGAATGTATTGGTTGGGTGCACAACAAATGCCTTATCGTGTGACAAAGCTAAATTAGAGAAAGCCAGCTCATATATTAAGAACAGTCCTTCCCCACTAAAGCACAGGTGCAAAAAAAAAAGGGGGGGAGGAGGAGGCAGAATGTCTACTCCTCTGAAGCTGATACAGGAGAAGAAATCTCATCAGGTGTAGCCAATTATTGGATTAGATAGTAGCAGTGTCTCTGGAGCACATACCATTCAGAACTTTAATAATTAAAAGCAGGATCTTGAATTAAGCCAAACGAGCTGAAAGTAACTGGAACACAATGCAGCCTTTTTTTCATGTGGCAGTTGCCATATCTTAGGTTGCCTTCATTAGGAGAACATGAAAGTATAACTCAGTTGCTATGCTTATTTGGGCTGCTGCATCATTATTATTACTGTATTTTTAAAAATATAAATTTAATTTTTAAAATTTTCAGAGATATTTTGACATAAATACAACCCAATATTTCCCAACACACACACACACACACACACACACACACACACACACACATATATATATATATATATATATATACTTCCCCCACTCCTTTTGCAGTTTCTTATTTTTTTAAATTTGTAACACTGATTTTCCTTCATTACTCCAATTAATAATTTATCCCTAATTATCTTTTAACAATAATTTTAACTGTTTGGTTCAAGTTAATCCTGATGGTGAGCTTATATGTGCACAATGACATTTCAAATCATCCACACATTTCCCCAGTCTTTTATAAAGTTTTTTCTCCATCTTGGTTCCTTGTTGCTCCTGTAAGTTTTGCCATTTTGGCATAATCTATTAATTTAGTCTGCCACTCCTCCTTGGTTGGTACAAAATCTTCTTTCCATTTGGGAGCATAAATCATCCTGGCTGCAGTTATGGAGTACATAAACAGGTTTTGCTTTATGTTTTTTGGTCTTTTTGTACCAATTATCCCTAAAAGATAAGCTTCTAGTTTTTTAGTAAAAGCTATTTTAAACATAAACTTCAGTTTATTATAAATCATTTCGCTGAAAGTTTTCCCCTTCTTACAAGCCCTCCTTTCTCCTTACATTTCCAGCATATATTTGATTTTGATTTACCGGTATACATTTTTGCTAACTTTTTGCTAACTCACTAGGTGTTAAATACCATCTGTACATCATTTTCAGATAGTTTTCTTTCAATGTATAGCATGTTGTGAATTTCATATCTACGTTCCACAGCTTGTCTTTCATTTTCATTTTCCAATAATAATTTATACATTTTGGAAATTACTTTGACATTATTTTCTAATAGGTCACTTTCAAATTGTGAAGCTTGATTTGAAAAACCATTCTTTTTATCCATTTTACAAAATTTATTAAGTTGATGATATTTTAACCAATTGGTTCCATGCTGGTCTAACTCTTCAAACATCTTTAATTGATAGTCAAAATCTTTCCCTGTTAATAAATCTCTATACGTTGCCTAATCACCTCTCATATTCTTTTTTTCCATCAAAATTGCTTCAAGTGGGGAGAGCCACCACAGCATCTTTATTTCTAGCAAATTTTTATAATTATAAAAAACTGTATATAGATTCTTTCTTATGATATGATTTGTAAAAATTCGTGTGCTCATTAATGGCCCATTCACACAAAAGACTGACAACACCTTTGGATGGTATCTGCTATGATCTTCTTTGGTCCTCATCACCCATCTGAATCAAATCCAGATGTGTGGCACTGCATTTGATACCACCTGGACCTTATTAGCTATTGCTTCTCCCATCCCTGGTGAGAGATCTAGATAGGTTGTCTACCTTTCTCTCATATTCATCATATACACAGCTCTACATACATGCAACAGTTAAGTCATAGGGCACACAGATGCAAAAATGAGCACCACCTGCAATACTCCAAGCCCTCTCAGTCCCCTAACCCTCCTACCTAATTACAGACTAGTTGGACTGGGCAGCAGCTACAATACTTTAACCACAGGTAAAATAATAGAACTGTAAAACTTTAGGGATGGAAGGTACATCCAATGGTCATCTAATCCAAATCCATGCACTGCAGGAATTACAGCTCAAGTATCTTTGACAGATTACTACTCTTCCTGTTTAAAACTTCTAGTGAAGGAGAGTACACCTTTCACAGTAGTCCATTCCACTGTTGAACAACTCTCAGAAAGTGTTTCCCAATGCTTAGTTTGAATCTCCTTTCCTGTAATTTGAATCCATTGGTTTGGGTCCTGGCCTCTGGAGCAGGAAAAAACAAGCATGTTCCATCCCCCATGTGACAGCCCTTTAGATATTTGAAGATGGCTATCTTATCTCCCTCTGTCTCCTTCTATCCAAGCTAAACATACCTAGCTCCCTTAACTGTTCCTCATAAGGCTTGGTTTCCAGACCCCTTATCGTATTGGTCACCCTCCTCTGCACACATTGCAGCTTGTCAATATCCTTTTGAAACTGTGGTGCTCAGAACTGGACACATGACTCCAGGTGGGGTCTGACCAAAGCAGAATAGAGCAGTAATGGCCAGTGGGCAGGAGGTGTAGCTTTCTCATCCCTGCCCTAGACGTTAGCCAACTCGGAGGGAGGGAGCAGGCCAGTGAATGCAACACAGACACCCCACCTCAGGAGGAACATCAGCTATGCACCCTAGGCACAGGACGGACTGGGAACAATGACTTCAAAGAATCCTGGTATCTAAAATGTTAACCCAAGATGCCAGTTGGGAGAACTAAAGCCACATACCTAAAACCATGAGCCACAAGTTATCTAGTAGCAGTTAAAGTAGGAGCTCATCAGAAGTTGAGCAAACCACAACAAGAAATCAGTATCAAAATACTACACATATTTTTTTTATTGTTGATTAGAGACACATTTTAAAAGCATGCGACTGGCAAGCATCTGCACTGCTTGCAGCCCAGAAGCATTTCACTCCAAAGGAATGTGCTTGCTTATCTTCTTCACCTAAGCGGTCAATACACCTAAGCGGTCATACAATACTCAAGTTTTAAAAGCCTTGGGATACCATGCAACGTGCAGCCTCCATACTTTGCCTAGTCAGTGGCCTCCCTACATAGCTGACAGCATCATATAGGCTCTGCTTATCACAGAACGTCCCAGTGGTTTTACAGTACTTTTGTATGATCTTGCTACCAGTTGCTGTAGTGGCCCTCCCACCAGATGTCAAAGAGAAAAATGACTACTTAAGAACTTAATTCCTTCTAGAGGTCTGTTCTTAACCTGAAACTGTTCTTAACCTGAGGTACCACTTTAGCTAATGGGGCCTCCTGCTGCCATCGCGCCACCAGAGCACAATTTCTGTTCTCATCCTGAAGCAAAGTTCTTAACCCAAGGTAATATTTCCGGGTTAGCGGAGTCTGTAACCTGAAACGTCTGTAACCTGAAGCATCTGTAATCGGAGGTACCACTGTACCAGACTTTTAGAAAACATCTGAAGGCAGCCCTGTTTAGGGAGGCTTTTGATGTTTGACAGACAATTGTATTTTAATATTTTGTTGGAAGCCGCCCAGAGTGGCTGGGGAAACCCAGCCAGATGGACAGGGTATAAATGATTAATAATAATAATAATAAGTCCAACCAACATTTTGGACCCCATATGTCATTCTATATGCACAGGTATAAGGGTATAAGAACAGTCCTGCTGGATCCAGACAATGTCCCAAATGCCAGTGGGAAACCAGCAAGCAGGATTCAAGCATAAGAGGACTCTCCCTTCCCGTGGTCTCTAGCAAGTGGTATTCAGAAGCATTGCTGCCTCCAGCTGTGGAGGCAGAGCATAGCCATTCTGGCTAGCAATTGTAGATAGCTCTTTCCTCCATGAATTTGTCTAATCCTCTTTTAAAGCCATCCAAGTTGGTGCCCATCACCAAGTTCTATAGTTTTACTATGTGCTGCATGAATAAGTCTTTTTTTTACCTGTCCTGGAGTGGGAGACCAAAGATGAGGTGGTAAAGGCGACAATAACAATTTATGAATAACATGACATGTGTGGTGGTCATGCAAGTACGCTAGAGAGAATTGGAAAATGATTCATACAGAATTAAAAAAGATTCTTAAACTCACATTTCCCAAAAGACCAGAGGCCTTTCTATTAGGGATAATAAGTGATAACATTCCAAAAAAGGCACTCCGCATATTTTTGTAGCTGCAGCTAGAGTAGTATATGCTAAAAAGTGGGGTGGGGGTGGGGAAAGAGAAGGAAATTTGGCAGAACAAATTGATAGAATACATAGAACTAATAACTATGACCACAAAACTAGGAATAAGTATGAGTAAAAGAGAAGAGAAGAGTGGAGGTGTTTGGGGGGTTATCTGAGAGGGTACAATATACAATTTAACCTACAAGTAGGAGTTAACATATGAGCAACCTATAACATCAAATAAAAAGGAAGACTTGAGATAATAATGGGTGGAATCTCAGGATACTCAGCAGATCAAGGTTTTCCAAAAATGCCATGGAGAGATGGACTAGGAAGCCTTAGGAAAAGAGAAAAGTGTTGGATACCGGATGATGTATGTATAAAAGTTATTAAAATTACATAAATAAAAGTTTTTTTAAAGTACTTTTTTCACCTGTCCTGAATCTTCCAACATCAACAAAAAGGACATAGGAAGCTGCCTTATCGTTAGTCAGGCCATTGGCCCATCTAGTTCAGTGCTGGCAGTGCGTCTCCAGGGTTTCAGACAGGAAGTCTCTCCCAGCCCTACCTGGAGGTGCCAGGGATTGAACCTGGGACCCTCTGCATGCAAAGCAGATGCTCTACCCTTGAGCTACGGCAGATCCCCAACCTCAGTCAACTTACCAAGGTAGGGCGCTGCCCCTTCAAGCTGTCACTGTCTCCAGAGGGTTGTCTTAATGGTGGATTTATTATGGAAAGCAAAACATTTAACTTACTGCCATGCAGTCCCGCTACATCAGCAGCACATGAGGATCCAGCCCAGCTTGGAATATATTGATATTATCCTTCAATTTGTTTTAAAAGCAAATGCTGCTCTTTAAGAAAAGGAAACAGCAAGGAGAATGATGTGCTTTCCCACTTACATGCTCCCCTGAACTACTGCATCAGTTGGTGGCAAGCAAGTGTTGTGAACACTCCAGACTATGACACAATGTATTGTTCACAGCTAGATTAAGGAAACATTGAGAAAGCAGCGAACACTCTTCCCTGGTTCATCTAATACATGGGAGGCAAACTAAAGCCCACAGGCCAGATCAGGCCCAATTGCCTTCTGGATCCAGCCTACAGACGGTCCTGGAATCACTGCATGGATCGCCAGCACGCACATTCTTTCCCTCTCCCTCACGTGGCAGCGGCACCACAGCCTCCTCCCTCCCTCCTCCTGGCTTCTCCCCGCCCTGCCTAGAGGAGGAAGGGGGCTGGGCTTTGTTGGTGCCAGCAGCAGCAGCACCCGAGCGACCGCCATTTTAAGCAGCCCCTCTCCAGAGCCCTTTCGCAGGCTGCTCATCGTCCCTCCGCCGCTGCTGTTGCTAGCCCCTTCCACTTGCAAGACACAGGTAAGCGGCCACAGGGTCTCGTGGTGCTCTTGCATCATTTATTCTTTTTCAAAATATAGTCCGCCGCCCCTCCACAAGGTCTGAGGGACAGTGGTCTGGCCCCATGCTTAAAAAGTTTGCTGACCCCTGATCTAATACATATTCAAAGCATTATTAGAGGGCTTGTCCATTTCCTTGATCCTAACAGCAAGCTACAGCTATATATCGCAGCATTGTACTGTAGAGGGATACCCAATCTGTATATTAGAAGATGAGGTCTTAACACATCCTTGGCTAGATTGAGCTTCCAAGGCTGGCTCCAAGGTTGTTCAGCATCTCATGAAAACAAGATAACAAGACGAGCTCCGAGTCCTTGGAAGTTCTAGAACTTAGAGTGCTGACCTACAGAGCAGGCGGGTTTTCTAAGGCAGGGGGCATGTGACTGGTACCTTGAGGGCCTTCAGAACTAGGGGCTGGTGGGTGGGAGTTCACAGAAACACCATACAAATGTGCAACTGGATCAGAAAGTCATTTACCAAGTCCCATTCTGCTGCTTAGGAACAAACAAACAAACTAGATATATTTTTTTATATAAAAAAAATTATGGTCCTAGCTTCCATCTTCTCTATCCTGGCCAGTAAAGTCCAAAAAAGAGGTTATTAACAGACCCATTGTCCACACTCTATGTCAGGCTTTGTTAGCCCCAGCTATAAGTTCAAATAATAAAATAAAATCCATGTGCTCGGAAGTTGTGCTTACTTGAGCAGTGTTTCTCTGCATCTGCAAAAGGGTAGAGAAACCCAAATAACATGTGAGATAGAAAAACGGTCTCTTCCTCTGCAGAATGAGGTATCAGGCCCCAACTCAGATATTTATTTACAGTGCAGTCCTAACTAGGTCTACTCAGAAATAAATCATGTTGAAATAAATGGGCCATTGCTGTTAGTGGGCATAACTAATTGAGGTCCATTAATTTCAATGTACCTGTAAGCCTTGTTATCACCTATGGATGTAGCCTGGATTTTTGTTGGTGGGGGGAGCAGAACCCCAGTTAGTTAAGTATTTGTGTTGGTTTTTATTGATGTAGGAGGGACAGCTGTCCCCTGCCCTCCCCCCTTGGCTATGCCCATGTTTTCACCTGATTTGTTTGCCAGTGTATGGAAGCATCACTAATTACCCCAGCATCCTGGCAGCTGTTGTAATCATTCCTGTTCTAAACAAAAGAACAAAAAAACCTCCAAGCTTTGCTCCATCCCCAAGCAGAACACTGATGGATTGGCTCGGGGTGGCATTTAAGTCAGCCACAGTCTCTCAGCCCAACCTACCTGGCAAGGTTGTTGTGAGGATAAAAGGCAGAGAGAACCATGTATGCCACTTTGGTCTCCTCAGATTAATGGTGAGATATAAATGCAATAAATGAAAATAAATATTATGCCACCACAATCATTAAAACAAACCAAAGCCGCTCTTCCCAGTGCACTGTCTCTATGGTGTTCTTGTTGGTGATGATGTTGTTGTTGGCCCCTTTATACAATTAAAATACTCAAACCAACTTGACAACACAAAATAAAAGCGCTTTAAAACTAGAAAAAATGTAAAACAATGAACAATCCAAAATGCATAAAATGCTCATCCAGCAGCATTTTAATATGGACAAGTCTTACCCACCATACTAAAAGGTTAACACTACTGTAGGAGGTGCCTGGGGACACGGGTGGTGCTGTGGGTTAAACCAAAGATCCTCGGACTTGCCAGTCAGAAGGTCGGCGGTTCAAATCCCCACGACAGGGTGAGCACCCGTTGCTCAGTCCCTGCTCCTGCCAACCTAGCAATTCGAAAGCACGTCAAAGTGCAAGTAGATAAATAGGTACCGCTCCAGCGGGAAGGTAAACGGCGTTTCCGTGCGCTGCTCTGGTTCGCCAGAAGCGGCTTAGTCATGCTGGCCACATGACCCAGAAGCTGTACGCCGGCTCCCTCAGCCAGTAAAGCGAGATGAGCACCGCAACCCCAGAGTCGGCCATGACTGGACCTAATGGTCAGGGGTCCCTTTACCTTTAGGAGGTGCCTGGGTAAACATACAAGGTTTTAGCCTGGCACCTAAAGGCTGACAAGGATGGTGCCAGGTGCATGTCCCTAGGAAGAGCATTCCATGAATGGGAGCCACCACTGCAAAGGCCCATTCTTATGTGGCCATCCTCTGCAGTTCCTCTGATAAAGACCTCAGAGTCCAGGTTGTGGGGAGAGGCAATATTGCATGCACATGGCCTTCCATAATGTGGTGGTTATTATGTTTGCCTAGCACACTAAAGGTCACCGGTTCAAAACCATGCAGAAATAGATAAGTGTTTTTAAAGGCCCAGTGTTGCATAGTGGTTAGAGTGCTGGACTAGGATCTGGGAGTCCAGGGTACAAATCCCCATTCTGTCACAAAGCTCACTGGGTGATCTTGGGCCAGTCACTGCCTCTAAGCCTAATCTACATTGCAGGGTTGTTGTGAGGAAAAAATGGGAAGCAGGGAACCATGTATGTCACCACATTGAAGTATTTGGAGGAAAAGTGGGATAGAAATGTAACAAATAAACATAAAATACTGCGGTGCTCAACTGCAATGCTTTGCATGCCCAGAGCTTTGCAGTTCCTGTTTTCTATAGAATTATAAAAGAAAATCTTTAATAAAAAATATTTTTAAAAATAAAATAAATGTGAACTTCCCCATGTTCAAAAAAATACCTTGCCCCGTGTAGGATCTCTCTGGACAAGTATGGCTTCCCATACCTGAACTAACCTAAAAGCAGCCCCCTGCTGCTGAACTAGATGGTAGGCAGGGTTCCTTCAAAAGATTTACCCTTCAGTGCTACGATGCTAAAGAAATAAAAATGTTAAGTTGTAAGAAATCAATTCATATGTATGCAAAACATAGATGTTTAAAAAACACATATTTGTGTGTGATGCTCTGTCTGAATATCTAGCCTCTTGAAGCAGGAATCCCTGAACTCAAAATTTAAGGGATAACAGGACAAACAGAAAGACTCATTTTCAACTGGCAAAAAATAATTATGTCTGTATGTATGTAATGTAATATCCAGTGCCTCCTGTGAAATATGCTACTGTTTTGAATCCTTAGTAAGTTTTCAGATTTGTGAGAATATCATAAGACCCCAAGTAAAATATATTGATATTTTGATATTGTGTGTTCTTAACCAACTGAGGAGGAAGAGACTGGCACCTATGGGGTCCCAATCCCCTTCTCCCACTGCTGAAAAAAGAAGAATTTTTTTAGTCAATAGGAGGCTGTTTTCAAGCCTAATTGTGCTGTGGGGAGCAACTGGGTGGAAGTTAAAGGTGTGGAGCGGAGAGTTTCAGCACATTTGCATTATCTACAGCAATTTCTCTAGCCTGCAAGGTGTGTCCATAAACTCCAAAAGTTTGGTGACCCCTGCTATGACGAAAAGTGCTCAATTTTTATGTATTTTGCACTATGTATGCTTTTGCAATTGTCACTCTGAGCCATGTCTGTATTAAGCATCAAATAAATGTAATAGAAATTAATAAATGTAATAAAATAATAAATATGCACACTTAAAACTGAATAGTAGTTCTTAGCTATTAGCAGACCAACACAGGATGGGGCTGTACCAATGTTCAGAACTTCACAAAAGCATCAAATGGATATTGTTATGCCGTGAATTTTTCATTTACAAGATGCAATGTATATTATGTTCATTGTGTTGAGAAATGAAGTATTTATAACCTAACCAGATACACTGCAAGCCCAGGTAGTTCAAAGGCTGCATAACAGGGAGTATGTACCAGCTACAATGAAATCAGAAGGTGAACAAATAATCTCAAGATATCTGCATCAGAAATTTAACAATTTTATTAATGCTTCACTATGTATGCCTGCAAACATTCATTTTGAAAGTGTCCATGACAGGTGTAATCTAAAAAGAATTTCTTGCACCGTACAAAAACTTTACAAAGGCAGCATACATTCCTGTTTTCCCTCAATATGCAAGAAGTGGTCAAACAATTCACAAGTTCAAGAGAACTATTGGGGTTTCACGTGTCAACCCACTGACAGTAAACAATTAGCACAAAACTGTCCCCACAACATGTCAGTATCCTGTCTTTAAGAATGTTAAGCAAAAGTATTGGGATGAAAAATCACCACATTTAGAAGGGGCCTAGTCAAAACACACAGCTAAAAGTATGAATCTCATAAAGCTTAATCCCTTCCCTGATGTTGAAAGAGGTGTGTAACTACTAAGCAGGTAGTTCTGCTTTGGCAGGTGCACCAAACCTCTCTATTAGAAGATGGCCAAGTACACAATTGTTCAGACTATGTTGTCTCCGAAGTTGTCTATGATGTAGCGAGAAGGACGGCGAGCTCTGTCTTCAATGGTCACTGGAGACAAGCGACCCGCTTCTTCCAGTGGAGGTCCATCACTTGCAGCTTCTGAGGAAGGGGGGGTAACCACGATGATCGGAATAACTGCAGCTGCAGAGGGTGGAGAGGGTGGTGAAGCTCTGCGTTTGCAGACGTAGCAAGGCAGAGGAATATCGAGGACACGGGTCACCGAAGGAACGCAAAGGTACTGACACCACCACTGATGGCATCGCACGCAGCAGGACCTCAAGAAACGTCGCGATTTGGGGTAGTACAAGCAGAGCCCCAAACAAAAAATTTCAGCAGCAACGAGCATGATGATGAAAATATTCAGGTCCCAGTCAACTAGGAAGAGAAAGGGAGTGGCACATTGTCACAATCACAATCACAGCTAAAAGTCCAGGCCTTTTTCCTCCCCTCCAAAAAACCTTTTTTCTCTGCTTAAATCCTCATTTCTTGACCTACTAGCAAGCTGCACAATTCCCTTCTCTCCCTCCTAACCTTTCCAGAGACACTTTTTTTTTTGCCACTGTAATAGGCTTATATCACCCACTTGCCACGTATACCCTAGGAAGCATTATACCACACCGACACTCTAAACCCGTTTTCCTATACTTATAGGTGACAGGAAGCTGTAATTTGCTAAGGGTGCAGGAAATTGTTGCACATTGGGGGTAAACTAAAATTCTCAAAATTCTTTGTGGGAAGTAGTGTACAGTTACAGACGCTTCAGGTTACAGACTCCGCTAACCCAGAAATAGTAGCTCAGGTTAAGAACTTTGCTTCAGGATGAGAACAGAAATGGTGCGGCGGCGGCGGCGGCGGCAGCGGCAGCGGGAGGCCCCATTAGCTAAAGTGGTGCTCCAGGTTAAGAACAGTTTCAGGTTAAGAACGGACCTCCGGAACGAATCAAGTTCTTAACCTGAGGTACCACTGTACTTCAAACGCATGGCGTGTATATGCGGTCTTAGGGATGACTACCCACATTAGTAACTAAAGCAAGCCCGGCCAACACATCTCTTTATAGTTTTAGGCAGCTGGTTAATACACCCCCCCCCCCGAGGCGTCTGGAGAAAGGAGGAATCGATTAGACAAATGCGTTAGTTGCTACTGCGACAGAGATTAGAAATTACTACTTAGCTATTAGTTACCACTTGTGTTAATGATTGTGCCGTTTTATGTCTTTTTTTGGTGTCATCTTACTCGGTCTTGTTCGCAACAGTGCAAGAATTGCGCTAAAGGATGGTGGTATATAAAATCATTTCGATAGATAATGCGTAACTTCATGCACAAGCAAGGAAACTCAGGAGACAGTTTGACCGATAAGCAACGCTGTTAGCGCAAAGCGGGTTCTTTGCGGGGATGCGCCTCCATGAACTACCCTCCCGCAACAAATGCGACCTATTTCCAAGTCCCGCAACCAGTTTACTTAGTTCTTAACTCCCGACTGCTCACGCAACTGCCGCCCTTACTGCGGTACTCCGTAAAGTCACAGAATGCCCCCAAAGCATAGCTGTCAACGTTTTCCCCCCCTTTTAAGGGATATTCCCTTCTTCCGAATAGGATTCCTCGCAAGAAAAGGGAAAAGTTGACAGCTATGCCCCAAAGCCCCCAGTAAACTGACGGACTCCACAACGCTCCACAGACAATCACTGTGAATGGAAATAGGAGACGACTTTACATAAAGAAGAACCCAGGATCAGTCTCTGCCATCTCCACATGGCACCCGGAGGAGAACCACCCCACTTGTCTAAAACCCTGCCAGCATACGATACTGAGTTAGATGGACCAAGGAACTTAAAAAAGCCGCTCCCCGTGTTCCTTTACTCCCATTAATAGCCCACCCGGCTACCCTAAAACCAAGAGTAGATGCTTTACCTCGGTTCACGGGTCCGGACCAGTCTATCCCTCCAACTTCGTCGTTGTCAAGGTACGCCATCAGCGGGTTATCAGAGGGGGAAAGTTCGTCGTCCAGCCAGATGATGTCTGGAGAGAATAAATCCTCCTCTGCCAGGAGTTGCTCCAGGCTCTGAAAGGTGTCGCTCCTCGGTACCTTTTCGGTCCCCAAGGCCACTCCCCCTAAAGCCACCTGCAGAACGAGGGCGCAAATCAGACCCCGCATCGTGACGCAAAAGCCGGCAAATGTGAGCTCCGTCTGAGGACACGTCCTTGTCGGCCCACACTCTCTGCTTCTAACTAGTCTTCCAAAGAAGCAGCCGGATGTAATCCAGTTAAGCCCTCCCAACTCTCCTTGATTCAGGGCCACTGCTCTCATTGTGCCAGTTAAGCAAAAACGAAACCTACAAACCTCAGAAAGGCGCAGTAATCATCTTTGAGGGCCACAGTTTTATAAAGATTAGTTTTTTGTTGTATCTTATAAATTTCTGATAATGTTTTACCGTTTATATTTTATATTGATGCTTTGAAACCATTTTAGTAGCAGATGCCGGTGCTTTAATAAAGATATTTGATGACACAAGCCTTAAAGGTTTATCTGGAAATATTTCCCAAACTGAAGCTAAGGTGCTCGCTGATGCAATTTGTTAAGTTCAAGTTTGCCGCATCTCTTGTTGCATGGTAAAACATCCCATTTTGAAGTTGATCTTACAAGAAAGCTACTACAGAATAAGGAAACTGATTTAAATTCAGATGCAAGCCAATTGCAAGTGAACCATAATTACCGTGTGGAGGATTTTAAACAAGTTTTGATAGGTACAGTGGTACCTTGGTTCTCAAATTGACTCCCGAAACCGTTCGAAAACCAAGGAGCGGCTTCCGATTGGCTGCAGGAGCTTCCTGCACTCAAGAGGAAGCCGCGTCAGACATTCGGCTTCCAAAAAACATTCGCAAACTGAAACACTTACTTCCAGGTTTGCAGTGTTCGGGAGCCGATTTCTTTGGCAACTAAGCCATTTGAGAACCAAGGTTCCATTGTATTACTGAAATTGCAAAAGAGCTAGAAACACTACCAAACTTCAAGACAGAACAAATTAGAAAAAGGAGAAAGAAATGGCAGTTTGTGCATGAGGCCCAAGATCCAAAGCAGAAATTCTAAGTAGGTTTCTGCTATGCCATACCATCTGCTGAAGAGAGATTCCAACAGCTACAACAATATTATTCTCTGTTTCACCTCCTGTATGATATATACAGTACAGTGGTACCTCGGGTTACAGAAGCTGCAGGTTATAGACGCTTCAGGTTACAGACTCGGCTAACCCAGAAATAGTACCTCAGGTTAAGAACTTTGCTTCAGGATGAAAACAGAAATCGCGTGCCGGCTGCAGCAGGAGGCCCATTAGCTAAAGTGGTACCTCAGGTTAAGAACAGTTTCAGGTTAAGAACGGACCTCTGGAACGAATTAAGTTCTTAACCCGAGGGACCACTGTATCAACAAAAAAATCTACTGAAGATGTACCGTATTTTTCACTCCATAAGGTGCACCAGACCATAAGGTGCACCTAGTTTTTAGAGGGGGAAATAAAGATAAAAAAACTTATTCCCCCTCCCAGCCCCCAAGAGCAGCGGACAGGCTGCATGGAGCCTGTCTGCTTCTCTCAGAGCTTCTGGGCTGCTGGGGGAAGCCCGGGTCCCCCCCCCCCCACTGCAAAGAGCAAAGAAGCCAAGACAGCGAGCTTGCCTTCTCCCGGCCGGAGGAGCTGTGCTCAGCTAAAGAAGCCAAGACAGCGAGTGGGATCCATCTTTAGCGGCTTCCTCTTTAGCCACGTGCAACCTTTCCAGCCGGGAGAGGCTGCACGCGGCTATGGCTTCTTTAGCCGCACGCAACCTCTCCAGGGATGGATCCCGCTCGCTGTCTTGGCTTCTTTAGCCATCAGAGGGGCTGCACACGGCTATGGCAATACCCCCACCTCCCGCGAAAGCTCCTTTAAGGAGCGTGCGGCTCCTCTGGGCTTTTCTATGAGGAGAGAGAAGGGACTGACTGGCCGCATCAGTCCCTTCTCCCTCCTGGGGAAAAGACCACAAGAGCCACACGGAGCTTGTGTACAGCTCTCGGGCGCTTTTCCTGCCTCCCTCCCCCCTGCATTCGCTCCATAAGATGCACACACATTTCCCCTTTCTTTTTAGGAGGGAAAAAGTGCGTCTTATGGAGCGAAAAATACAGTACTTAAAGCCTGCAAGATTTTGTGCTTACAACTTACAACAATAACACAAAGGCTTCCAAAGTCTATGCTCCCACATGGAATATTTCTTTTTATGCTACAACAAAAACTCCTGGATATTGTACCTAATGTTGCTGTTGCATTAAGGATCCTTCTCAGTGACAGCAGCATGTGGTGAATACAGTTTATCAAATCTCCAACTTACAAAAACTTTACATATGCTCAACAATGTTGCAAAAGAGACTAGGTGGTTTTGAAACTACATCGACTGAGCATGCCCAAACCTCAGCACTTGAGTTAAAGGAATTGGTGACAAAATTTGCAAAAAAAAGGACATGCAAAGTGAGATTTTGATGTGCCTGAAATTGAAACTTTTAAGAGACTTGCAATTTAATATCACAATTCACAAGATTATTCAAAATGATTTGTGTGCTAAAACATTTTCTTTATAATTTTAGAAGATAAACAAATATTGTTGTATTACTTATTATTGCAATTTAAAACAAATTCAGCAGTTTTAAGTTTGTGCTTTTCATTCTTTCTACAAGACATCTGTTTTTGAAAATTAAAGTTAGCAGTTTGGGCCAGGAGAGCGGGTTTCAAGTAGTTAGCCTTGCCTAGGGTGCAAAATAGTCTGGCACTGTTCAGGCTTCCTCAACCTCGGCCCTCCAGATGTTTTTGGCCTACAACTCCCATGATCCCTAGTTAGCATGACCAGTGGTTAGGGATGCTGGGAATTGTAGTCTCAAAACATCTGGAGGGCCGAGGTTGAGGAAGCCTGGTTTATATCATTCCAGAAACATTTTCTTGTTGTGGCTGGAAAGGGCATCTGGACTCAGCTGGCTTGGCCCTGATTCTTGCTCATCCATCAACAAGGAGTCTCATACCGTTTTCTTCTCCCTGCTCAGGAATAGGCCAAAATGCCTCCTGCTCCAGATGGGCAATGGACAGGGATGGGGGATGCCATCTGAGGGTTCCACAGCCTTGCAAGCAGTGGGATCTACTCCTTTGTAATACATGGCTCTAGGCCATGGATAGGCAAACTAAGGTCTGGGGGCTGTATCCAGCCCAATCACCTTCTAAATCTGGCCCTCGGACAGTCCGGAAATCAGCATGTCTTTACAGGAGTAGAATGTGTTCTTTTATTTAAAATGCATCTCTGGGTTATTCATGGGGCCTGCCTGGTGTTTTTACATGAGTAGAATGTGTGCTTTTATTTAAAATGCACCTCTGGGTTATTTGTGGGGCATAGGAATTCATTCCCCCCCAAAAAAATGTAGTCCAGCCCCCCACATGGTCTGAGGGACAGTGGACTGGCCCCCTGCTGAAAAAGTTTGCTGACCCCTGCTACTAGGCTATGTCCTGAGTAGTAAGCCCTGCCAAGTTCAGTAGAGTGCTCTTCCTCCTAAGTAAAGGTAAAGGTAAAGGGACCCCTGACCGTTAGGTTCAGTCGTTTGGGGTTGAGGCGCTCATCTCACTCTATAGGCCGAGGGAGCCGGCGTACAGCTTCCGGGTCATGTGGCCAGCATGACTAAGCCGCTTCTGGCGAACCAGAGTGGCGCACGGAAACGCCGTTTACCTTCCCGCTGGAGCGGTACCTATTTATCTACTTGCACTTTGATGTGCTTTCAAACTGTTAGGTTGGCAGGATCCTCCTAAGTAAGTGTTCCTAAAATAGGAAAATAGGAAACTGTCAGATCATGCTTCCATCTAGCTCAGGATTGTCTGCATTGACTGGCAGCATCTCTCCAACAGGGTTTTTTAATTTAATCCTGGAGATTTAATCCTGGAGATGCCCAGGATTGAATGTGGGACGTTCTGCATGTAAAGCAAATGCTCTTTCACTGAGCTGCAGCCCTGCCCAAATAGCAACCTTACGTATCTAGCTTTTGAAAGTTCTTCTGGGTTGAAGGGATCTTACTCCTTTTTGACAGGCTAAGTTACAGTTTGGTCAAAGGTGCTTCCTTCTGAGTAAGTGACCTTAGAACTGCCTTGAGTGAACTGCCTATGCTGCAGGGGTAGGCAGACTAAGGCCCTGGGGCCGGATGTGGCCCAATCGCCTTCTAAATGTGGCCCGCAGATGGTCCTGGAATCAGTGTGTTTTTACATGAGTAGAATGTGTCCTTTTATTTAAAATGCATCTCTGGGTTATTTGTGGGGCCTGCCTGGTGTTTTTATATGAGCAGAATGTGTGATTTTATTTAAAATGCATCTCTGAGCTATTTGTGGGGCATAGAAATTCGTTCATTTCCCCCCCCCCCAAAAAAAAATAGTCCGGCCCACCACATGGTCTGAGGGACAGTGGACCAGCCCACGGCTGAAAAAGGTTGCTGACTCTTGGCCTATGGCATGCATGGAATTGGCATCACCAGATCAGGAAACCTTAGTGGGCCCAGGTTATGGTCTGAAGACATGGAAGGCAACATATTTCCCTACATATTCCCACAACCCTCATAAACACCAGCTTGAGTTTCATGATGGGATAAAAATGCATGAAAATACATAGAAAATAGATTTCAAAAATAAAGTAGTGTAGAAAGCAAGTTACTTTTTGTCACTTTCCCTCTGCTATCAAACTTGGTTGAAGCTTCCCACTCCTTCATATGAAGTCAGCTAAGCCAGCAATACTGGAGACCACCAGATCCCATAAAACTGTAACATTTGTGAAAAAGATCTGATTCTCTTATACTGCCATTATACACATGTCTATTCAGAAGTAAGCCCCCTGCATCCTTGAGCTGTCACAGCTTGAAGCTTTAGGGTAAACAACTGGGGATATAGGCTATGCTTCCAGAGCCTTATCTGTGTTTGGTTCATGTCTAGTCACGGCTCTTTTCATTTTGCTTCCTTGTTTTATTAAAGTAAACAAAAGAGACATAATAACAAATGAAACACACAAGACATAACTGTGAATTTAGTCTCAGTGTTATTTGTGAATTCACAGGAAAAAGACAGAACTCAAGCAATCATGAAGAAAACATACAGATGGCAATACAGTGGTACCTCAGTTACATACGCTTCAGCTTACATACTCTGCTAACCCAGAAATAGTACCTCGGGTTAAGAACTTTGCTTCAGGATGAGAACAGAAATCGCGAAGCGGTGGCACAGCGGCAGCGGGAGGCCCCATTAGCTAAAGTGCTACCTCAGGTTAAGAACAGACCTCCAGAACAAATTAAGTTCTTAACCCGAGGTACCACTGTACAGAAAGCCAAGAAAGATAATGTATAGATTTTAAGCTAAGGAGCAAAACAGTTCATTTATAATATCTGTCCATAATGGGTGATGGAGTTCTGAGGGAAGGGCTGCTCAGTGCGGTCTCAAAACAAATTCAGCAAATGGAGACCAAGTAACTGAGAACGGTATTTTAGTTTAACTCCTCTAAGTTGTCTGTTGCTCTCTTTAACTTTTTCTGCCATACCATATTCCACTATCACATTAAGGTGAGGTGGGAATGATATCTCCAATTCTAGCTGCTGTTTCAAATCACAGTTGTTGACCTCTTCTTGCAACCGATATGTAACAGTCTCAAAAGCAAGATGGCTGAGGGCACTGGTTCAGTTTCCAAAATATCCCCACTATCCCAAAAAAAGGACCACAAAATATATCCTGTGGTATTTTAAATAAAGAACTTACAAATTTATTAGGCAGAAGATTTCATGGACTACACACATACAAACACATCCTGAGCATGTACAACTTCACAATTCTCAGCAAAACAAACACATAAAAAAAACAACACTTGATATGCGAAAGGAAAATGTACAATTTTACATTTAAAACTAATAAAAATTTGCCCTGCTGCATCAAGACATTGGCCCACCTATCCACCATCCTGTTCTTACACTGGCCAACCAACTGCCCCAAAGCGAATTTCACTCAACTCGTCATTATTTTTTATACCTTCGGCCAGTCATCAACACTCACATAATACAGTCACACATAATACACTCACATAATACAGCCTACATAATACAGTGGTACCTCGGGTTAAGTACTTAATTTGTTCTGGAGGTCCGTTCTTAACCTGAAACTGTTCTTAACCTGAAGTACCACTTTAGCTAATGGGGCCTCCTGCTGCCGCCGCGCCACCACCATGCGATTTCTGTTCTTATCCTGAAGCAAAGTTTTTAACCCAAGGTACTATTTCTGGGTTAGCGGAGTCTGTAACCTGAAGCGTCTGTAACCCAAGGTACCACTGTAGCAGAATAATAATCTGCTGGATCAGGTCAATGGCCCGTTTAGTCCAGCATCCTGTTCTCACACTGGTTAACCAGATGCCTGTGGGAAACCAGTGAGCAGAGCATAAGCACCACAGCACTCTCCCCTCCCATAGTTTCCAGCAACTGGTATTCGGTAACATTGCTGTGCAGGTAAAGTTATCTGACCCTTTTGACTTTGTATTTCAACTTCCTTTTTAACAATCCCCTCATTTTGGGGAAGTTTCCTATTTTGAAATCAAATGTGACTGTTGGATTTCCTTGGCAAATGATCATTTACATATATATTTAATTTAAGAGCACTAAAGTAAGTTTGCCCATTATGATTTAAAGGAGCAAATTGAAGGCCCTGTTTCTGAGCCCGCAGACACTGATATGGCAACAGTCTCTTACAAAATGCTGGGAAAGCAGCACTGGGGCTTTCCTTTCAAACTTAATTTCGTGTTCAGACCCAGAAACCTCCCCCCCCCCCCCAAATAAATTCACACTTGACTTTAATTTTGGTTTTGGTTTTTGGCAGAATTTAGGCCACAACTTTATTGATTACAGAAAGTGACTGGTTGCATAGGCTCTGGTTCGACTAGCTCCCTGCCTTGCAGGTAGCGCTGACCCAGGGTTCCAGCATAGGTCAGCAAAGGGTGAACACCTGGGTAAGCAGAAAGCCGGGAACAGGCTATCTCTGCCACCCAAATGCCCCCCCCCCCGGGACTCAGGCATGGGCACAACTCCCTCCCAGGGGTTGACAAAACCACCAAGTCCCTGGATTCCTTTAACGGAATACCTTTCACATAGGGATGGCAAGAGCGTTCTCCCATCCCTATCACCTGAACCAGAGCCTATCCGCCACATGAGCACCCGTACTCGCCGCCAACCAATCACACCTGTAACCAATTCCTTAACCCCGCTGACACGGCAGTCAGCCATAAGTCATTCCCAATCACAGATAGATGAACCCCATCAAGCCTGTAAAAGGATGCATCTCAGAAGGTATGAACCTTTTTGGCCACAGCGCTCCGGGTGCATCCTGGCCCTCTCGGTGGCAGTTAGGCATTGGCTACCTCACCACACACATCACTGTTTGAGTCCAGGAAGAGCTGCCTTCAACTCTTCAAAGTCCTCCTGCATGCGGGACTGCAAGCTTAGCTGGGGGCTTCTGGCAATTGTGCCCAGCTGCCCACAGCCACCGCAAGTGTGCCTCCACAGACACCTGCACCTGCACCACTTGGGAGAAGCCCCTCCCAAGGCATTCCTCATCTGGACACCTATGAGATGTGCACGTGGTTGGGAAATCCAAGCCTGCATCCAAATCCAGGCTCTACAGCCCTCTTGCTGGTCCAGTGGACAATGCTGTGCCCAACTATCCAGGCGTGCAGGGCAGGCAGACCTAGGAATGAACAAAACCACTTTAATAACTGCACCTCAGCGCTGCATCCGAACATAACCCCTGTATGCGTCAGATTTCTAGCGGCCCAAATCCTTAATCCTGTCAACGGACAGGCCCCAATGCGCAGCGGTAATAGCTGCCCCAATATGGAAGGAATGAGGTGCAAACTTAATAGTCAGCAGGCCACATGCTGCAATTGCCTTATGAATCACTGCACCAAACTGATGCCTCTTTAACAGGGACCCATCCTCGTGGACCAGGAAGGGGCCATACCCAGGCGGGCGAAGTGACAAATGTCTCTTGGCATCCCTCACTGTACAAGAGCTGGACCTACCAGCAGCAGGCAGCCTCATCGAGGCACCTCTGCCCAACTGATCCGTTTTGGAATTCCAAATAGTGAGCACCAGCTCATCATCAGGCAGCTGAACGTCCTGCAAAAGCAAGCCCTTGGAAGCCCTTCCTTTGTGCTGACTCCAGCACCATTTTGCCCACATGCAGTGCACCAAAAGTTCTATAGAAAAAGCTGCCGAAAAGAGTCTCGCCTCATAAATACCAGCAAATTAGTCTCCACTTGCAGCGCACAGCGCTTAAAATGTCAAGATGCGACCGGCCTCCTACCTGGCAACTTTGGTGGCTGCAACCTGGCCCAACCTCCAAGAGCCTTGTGCACCACAAACTTTGTACAAGGGTCTCTAGAATAAAGGGACTTACAGAAAAAATCACATGGGAGAAGACCGTTCGGATGGAGATCACAGCACGACCCATAAACCGCAGGTGAGCCAATTACTGCAACACCTGATGTATGAATGGTGAGTTTGTACTATCGCTTGTCAAATTCTGTTCTCTAAAGCTAAAAAGTCCATCCAGGCCTTCTTATAAGACCTCAATGTGGAAGGAGAAACAGATGCTACTACTCCCTGCCGGACTAGGCGCTGCCAAGGTTCCAAAGGTGAACCGGGAAATATCCTGTAAACTGCTGAGCATCCTGAGCCAGGGATCTGAAGCACTCCATCTGAAAATGGGATAGGGCGTCAGCAATATCATTATTAGCGCCAGGAATAAAACAGGCAGAAAATACAATATTAAACCTGAGGCACTGCAGCACAAACGTACTGGGCAGAGACTCTGCTGGATCGGGATGACCGCCTTGCCAAAACGCTCACCATGGCCTGGTTATCAGACCAGAAGCAGACCCGCTGGTCCTTGAACTCCGTGGTCCAGATGTGCACTGCCACTACAATGGGGAAAA